TTCCCTCGATGTCATAAAGACCATATATTTGCCGTTGTATACCGATCTCCTATGAAAACTTTTGCATCTAACCAAAATCTGTAAGATCTTTCTGTAAGATCTTTTTTTAAGTCACTCGATTGGAACTTGTTTATAGTACGAGCCCCGTCTCTAAGAGTGAATTGTCACAGCTTCTAATTCATAAAATATAGTATAGTCTGGATTTTTATAAACTATATTTTCAGTTCACGCATCACCGCTTGTTATCCTCAAACAAAATTTCAAAACCTCAGGTTGACAAAGACGTGCCTGAACAAGCGTTTAGAGTTATAGGTACATATAGTGCCCCTCTAAGAATTGGCTCCTTTTATATTTTTTGTATGGCCGTTTAGTGAAAAAAGCTTCATATAAATGATAAAGGGCCATAATAATAATAATTATTGTCTTTATTAATTGATAGCAAGATACAAGGATATACAGTGCTTTTATTTAATGTCCCCATCCCCTTTGATTTTTTGAACGGATAAATTCCAAAAATTAAAACCTGAGGTTAGGAAACTGATGCGAGGATACCACATTTTAGAGTAAAATTGACAGATGGGCGCCATCTTGGAAAAAATATATGAAAACGGGGGTTTTGTGGCACATCATTTTGAAGCTCCTGACGAGTACTTTATAATCATAGAATATAAAATCAATACCTTTACCTACTACAAAATGGTGGTACATTTAATAATTACTTGAACACAACTTGAATATCTCTACAAATAATTGTAATTCCCTGCCGTATCCACAGCAACAGCGATAAAAACTTGTTTTGTTATTTTCCGTTGACAGTGACAAGAATATCAGTACGGAAACAAACATAATTGTACAGTTCAAATATTCTTATTTAGTTTTTGGCTTTAGTGCTAGATACTGTTTGAACTATATTTAAAATGGTCAATTCTCGTCCACTGGAAGGAAAAATCGAAGCGATTTTTATTTATGGTGCGTCGCATAATTTTCACGAGACCGAAAGGATTATCAATGATCGGTTCCCGAATCGTCCTATCTGTAGGAAATATTTAAGGGAACTTGTATCTAAATTTTCAGCTCTGGTAGTGTAAACAACAAAACGCCCCCAGGTCATCCGACCACCCTGGAAGAAAAGCAAGTTCAAATAATTGGTAAGATCATAGTAAATGCCTAACAGTCTACTTCCTCCATCGCGAATGTATGCGAGGTTTGTCCTTCTACTGTATGGAGACTTTTGAAAAAGAATAAGTATCACCCATACAAAATTCAAATGGTACATCAGCTAACTGAAGATGACCCTGATCGAAGAACTGAATTCTGCGGGACTATGACGGAAACCATTGCACGGCATCCCACCTATATCCAAAATATTTGTTTTAGGGATGAATCTACATTTTTTCATAACGGTAATGTGCATAGAAGAGATTTTCGTTATTAGAGTGACACCAATCCTCACGTCTTTCGGGAAACTCATGCTCAATATTCATAAATTAACGTTTGGACTGGGATATTGGTAAATCATATTGTGGGGCCTCTATTCATCGAACAAACTTTAACCGGGGATGGATATGCTGGAGAATACTATTGACCCTCTAATCACCGAAATCGTAAAAGCGATACTGATTTTGTTTCCCAACAAGATTATTTAGATAATTTTCCCGGTCGTTGGATTGGCCGCCGAGGTCCTGTGGAATGGCCAGCTTGCTCGCCAGTTTTGACAGCCTAAGGGACAATTTCACCAACAACAGTCCGTTATTCGCCACCTATCGGGTAACAGACCGTCAGATACTGCGAATGAGCTTCAAGTTCCAATCAACAAATTTTAGCAACCAATAGCTATGAAATGTTGAAAACAAAATACTGTCAAAGTATGAGATAACAACTTGAAACATCACCAGCTTATCGAAATTTTAAGAAATGTTTCATTTTTGAATTAAATTCATGTTTTAATTACTATTTTTGATTTTTTATTCATGTTTATATTATTTTCTTCAATTGGTATGTGTGGATGTGGATGTGTGTGTTTTTTCCTATAAACCGCTTGCAGATAGCCATTAAGCACCTACTTGATGACAGGCTCTACCAAAAGATATAGCTCGTTTCCAAACATTCATTCATTTACTTGCCGTTCATCAGAACCATTATGGCACCTTAGATTGATATTCCCACAAAACCATTCAGGTTATTTGATATCCATACATCCATAAAGGTGAATATTTTCCGTTGTTCAGGAACTGAACAAACATCCACACTATATTCACAGCGATTAAGAAATTCCCAAATATATGCCTTAAAGCTACCAGCAAACCTAAAACCTGCAAAAAAACTACAAATTTGCCATATTTTTCTTTTTTCATGAGTACATATTATAGGTTATATTTGTATTAGACATTATTTGAATACAGCTGATTATTGCATTTCAAGGATTGACACATGTGTGGGATCTGTCAACTCTCGGTACCAGTCACAAAACATATACTCTGAAGGTTTAATTCCCTGCTATTCAATGACACGGTGACTTGTGTGGTTATCAGCGGCAATTTTGTGAGGGTGCGACAGGGTTGCCAGATTGTACATTACACCTAAAAGGGTACTTAATTACATAGCACCTGCCTGAGAGTATACAGGAAAATGGCGTCAAGTAGGTTGACTCTGCACTTTCCACGCCATACCTTCATCAGTTCATAAAAGATTGTTATGCAGAATTAAAAGCTGATCACGAACATCCATAACACAAAGCTAAACTGATCAAATCAGTCAAACATGCCTACACAACCAGCCCATAGAAGTTCTTTCCTGGCCATACCGGTAGGTCATCTGGCAACATCGCCTTTATCCGATTCCTGACTGCACAGACAGGCTAAGACCGGTACGCTCGCCAGTGATCCCAGACAGCAGAAGCAGTGACAGGTAGTGAAAGCAGTCCTCTATCATTTTGTTCTAAGGGAAGCTAAATAGGTGAGAAGAGCTATAGAGATTGGGAGACTACAAGCATTCAGAAACTAAAAGAAAAATGTGGAGAAATGGATTGATAGTGTCATACCCTCAACTTACTTTATTTTGAGTAGAAAAGCCTTGTTAGATATTCTTTCATCATATATTTATGTTACATATAAAAGTATCATACCATGGGATTAAAATAATTTTTTCACCTCACTAAATAAAATTTGGAGCGCAGCTGCATAAGAAAATATAAGTTCCGTGATTATGTCTGCATTATATAACAGCCTGGTTGAACAATACAGGCGCTGACTAGTCGCTATCAAATATGAATGGAAGCGTAAATTGCTAAGCTGTGCCAAATATGTTTCATTTAAAATTTCAGAGGATGACGTTTTGCAAAGGTATCCAGCACATCTTAACTCAATCACCACGCAACAATAACGTACTCTACACGCTAGGATGTTCTTATATTCTTATTTACCACTTAGATACAGAATAGTACAAGTTATGGAATCCTGTTGGTAACATAACTACAGTGAGTGTAAAAAGTATTCGTACACCTGGTTTCCATAACGAAAAATGCCATATCTCGCCTAATTTATTGGTGTTAGACATCCGAAACAAAATAGATATGTACATTAGATTCTGCTTGATTCACTTTTATCGATCGAATCCAAAAACAAAACAGAATAGACTCTAAAAATAATAAAAAGTCACAAGAATGTGTCTGGTGGGCGCAAAAAAAGTATTCGTACAGTCGTAATAATGCCGAAAAACTCGCTTATCATTCGGTAGACGATAATACTCCCTAGGTTGCTCAGTTTCAGATTCTGTGCTGTAAACATAGGCCGCAAAGGCAAAGAAACGTGTTTAGAGGAACGAAAGTTAATTTTAAGGCTCCATAACCAGTGCAAGTCGCTAGGTGCTATATCAAAGTTAGTGGGACGACCCCGGTCGACTGTACAAACAGTAATTGATCGGTACTGTGAAACCAAAACGTTGGTAAACAAGGCCAGGAGTGGACGACCCAAAGTTTTGAGCGAGCAGGACAAGAGAGTGATTGCACGGACAATCAAAACGAACCCAAAAGTGAGTGCGCCGAAGATTGTTGCTGACCTGTCACAGAGGGGGACCAAGGTGTCCATCGCGACAGTGCGCAACATGTTGACGAGCGAGGGGTATCGCGGGTGCACGCCCCGGAAGAAGCTGTGGGTAAGCAAAGTCAACAGAGCCAAGCGTATCGCCTGCTGCAAGGAGCACCTAAATGACACTGCAGAGTTCAGAAATAAGACTATTTACTCAGATGAGAGTAAATATAACATTTTTGGTTCAGATGGTAACAAAAAAGTGTGGCTCAAGAAAAATACAGATCTTTCTGTCGAGAATTTGTGTGCCACTGTAAAACACGGTGGTGGATCTGTTTTAGTGTGGGGTTGCATGAGTGCTTCTGGGGTGGGTAATTTAGCTTTCATCGATGGCATCATGGACCACAAGAAGTATATAGAGCTATTGAAGCAAAATAACCCCATCATTTTTATTGTAATTACCTTCATTATAAAAAGTTTGGTAGCCAGGTAAATTACAGTTCTTAATAGACACAATTTGAAAGGTTTCCGTGAAAACAATAACGTCAAAGCTATTTAGCTTATATGACTCTATATAAGCCAGAAAATTATCCAAATATCTGTTGATACTTCTTATATTAACATGAATTACAGTTACAGCCAATGAATGTGCAATATGTGACAAGAAGGTTTTTATCTGTTCACTGTCCATTATTTCACTCAAAGAACCATCGTCTTCATTAATTATATCTAGAATTTCCTCATTTATGTGATTTACCATTATGCTTATTTACTATAGTCAGTTCTGGACTTCCAGATTCCAATTTGGTATTTTAAACAAGGACAGTTTGCACTTAATGCACTATGATCTGTTGCGTACTTAGTTTTATACAGCTTATTGGCCGTGTTACAGTTCACACACGTCCTCTCCTGACTTTCACATTCTGTGGTATTGTGACTCCCTGCACAGTTTCCACAGAGTTGCTTTCTAGGACACCGATTACTTTTGTGTTGAAATCCCTGACACTTGAAGCACCTAGATACAGTCAGATCCTCATACACCGGCATACGCTCCCAGTCTATATGAATTTTTTCATTTTTGATTATTTTAGAATATAAGTTTCCTGAACATTCCGCATAAATTGTGGAGGTATCTTTATTTTTATGTCTTCTAATATAATGTATCTTTTAAAGTGTCCGTTCGACTGCATCCATGTATTCTGCTTCCTTATACTTTCTTCAAGCTCCTCTATCTCCTTATTACCCACATATCCTACAATTTTAATTTTCGGTAACATCTTTTTTGGTAAATTGACTTCATATTTACCTTTTAGTTTACGTTCTGCTGATTTCTTCAGTCTTTCTAGCTCCTGTTCTGTGTCGCACTTTAGTACAATATTTCCTTTCTTAGTTTCCTTAGTATTTCTAATTCCAACATTGATTTCGCATGGATTTATCAACCTTTGCACCTCCTCTTTATTCTTGCCTATATTTTGTTGGCTTTTAGGCCTAATTATTATGGTAGGCAGACTAGGCTTATTAATGTAATCCGGCGCGGATGTTGTATTTTTTAAGACATTTGCATAAGTGTCACTTCTGTAGTTTACTTTCAAATCTGCTAATTCTCTTTTGATTTCCTCCATCATTTTCACCATATAGGGCATTCTTGCTATTAGTTGCTTGCATTCATCACAAATCAACAAAAGAACCCTCTTCTGTAGTGGCATACATCGCACTTCCGAAGATGTTAAATTGACACAATCCTTATGAACGCTCCCAAAACATGAATCATATTTATAGTAACCATTTTCTCCATGAAATTCTGTTTTACACTTGATGCATACCTCGGCTTCAAGTTCATTGCCCTCCATCCTTGTTTATAATTAAGGATTCTGTTTTGGGATGGTTATTATGATTGTGAGGCTATGTTTTCTTTTTAAAATTGTAGGATGATTAAATCAAAAGTGTGAAAATTTGATGCAAACAGATATTTGTGAGATATGATCCTGGATAACTAGACTATAAAACCAGCTAGTTATTCTGATGGCTATTTTTTGTAACTGGTACTTTTTGTAAGCAAACTTTTAGTTGCTGTGTACACTTTTTTGTAAGAGAAATGTATCCTACTTACTGCAATTAACCACAAATGAAAAACATGTGCACAACCAATATTTCAGCCCTTTGTACTACATTCAGCATTTTCGTAAACATGTGCCATTTTTTATTCACTCACGCGTTACCGACTGACACATCGACTGAGTACAACTGAATAAAATTGTACATAGTAAAAACATCGTTTCAAATTCTTTCGCTTTTTTGTTTCCGATGCGATGAACGGATAAGGCGGATTATATCCGTTGTTGCCAAACACGAGCACATAATATTATTATTGAGACAGGGCGGTACTCAAACTTCTAAAGGGCTATAACTTTGTTACTTTAATTTTACCAGAAAAATGTTAAAGGAAAAGAACATTTCTTTTGATCAGATCTACTCACTGTTAAAATAATTGGTCCGATTCTAATCCCAGAATTTATCATGATGTTCATACACAGCACCCACAAAAATTAAATGTTCGGGTTGGCATTTTTGGCGATCGTTTAGTTGGTCCTTTTTTGTTACCTGGAAATTTGACCGGTGAAATGTATTTGGAATTGCTGGAAGACAGAATGATCGGCGGTACATTGCGAATAGGTTGATGTTCCAACAGGATGGTGCCCCACCACATTACGCATTATGTGATCGACAATATTTAGATCAGACGTTTCCAGATCAAAGGATTGGTAGAATAGGTGCCACTGAATGGCCTCCAAGATCGCCAGGTTTGTTACCTTTGGATTTCTTTATGTGGGGTCATTTAAAAATCAAAATCTATGCTACTCAGCCAACATCATTAGAAGACATGCGACAAAGAATTGTGAATGAGTGCCTTCAAATTACTCCTCAAATATTGCAAAATGTGCGGCAACGTTTTGAGCAAAATCTTTATTATTGCATGTCATGGTGGCCATTTTCAACATTTAGGTACTTGCCTAACGGGTCAGTTCATTCTTCATTTTTAAATTACTTTGCTGCCAAATGTATTGATCTCCACTAATGATGATGTATTAGTTTAATTTAAGCTTTAAATCAATAAATCTTCAAAACTACTAAACTGAAGTACATTAATTTTATATCATTATAAAGGGAATTGAAAGACCTTTAAAACAAGGTATCACTCGACCCCCCTTTTTATTTAAGATTTTGGGGGTGGTGGGTCTGAGCGTTTTTCCAAAAAAAACTGAGCTGCAGTAAATGCGTCTGTTCCGTTTTCGATGCGCCACCCTGTATATAAGGCCGATATAGCAAGTTCGCCATCTTAAAGTTCTCTTTGAACTGTGCGGCTTCAATACCATGTGTGCTATTTTGAGTGACTTCCTGGTGTGAGGGTGGAGCTGAAGTTAACTTACCAAGACCAGAATATAAAACAAACTAAAGCATATCAACGTGATTATATCGGTGTAGATTGTATGCTTCACTAATGGTATTGATAAGCTTTATAATTGAGTTGAAATTACATCAACCTATGTGGGCGATACTCTGGTAATTTCATCAATAACTGCTGGAATCAGACTTGATAACATCTATTATTTCAAATAATATTGTTGTCCCGGTCATGGTGGTAAGCTATTTAATCACAATGTACTGTGGTATACATACACCCAGATGTGCTATTTGTACCTGAGCATAATTTATTTAACGCATTTGTTCTGACCAATAATTGGAACCATTTACAGGGTATCTGTATAGTGTGTCAAAGATGAATAAATTCCTTACTGTTAGAGTTGCAGAAAAAAACTGAGATATAACAGTTGTAGCCAGAGCTAAGTGCTACAACCTAAAATTATGTTTAGCTGTACAGGGTGTCCCATAAATTAGTGGGAATGTATAGTACTTATTTACATTTTCTAACCACTTTTTATCAATAACATGACAGACGGATATTTTCCTAATAATTCCAAAATTATGGTTTTTATTTCTAAAACATGGAATATCTTAGAAAATACTAGAGTTGGTTACAGGCAATGCCCAATAAAACTGGAAGAGCACTACGAGACGCGATGTATCGAGTTATAACATACAGGGTGTTTTTCAAGAAAGTTACATCTTTCTGTTTTGACTCACCCTGTATTTATCGAATGAAATATGTACAGGAAAAATATTGGATATGAATGTCTAACACTGTTTCCATCACTAAGTGTAATAAAATAGATTTTATCTAAAGTGTGTTTAATATACGGGAAATCAAATGTACAATGATTTTAACGAAAAAGTGGCGGTATATTCCGGAATACTCAATACAAACCCCCAAAACCATACATTGCCAGAATGACCAAGAAAATGCTTTTCTTAAATTCAACAAATACAAAAAAATACAAGCTTATAATGTCACTAATTTATGGGACACTCTGTATAGTTTAAAATAATTTTAAGTTGGAGCCCTTAGCTCTGCCTGCAACATTTATGTTTAATTTTTTCTGCAGCTCTGATAGTAACGAAGATATTGAGCTTGGACACACTATTTGGACACACCCTGTATAACAAAAGGTTGCACAGGTATTTCCGCTAGTACGACAGGTTACTAAACGTACCAAATGATATAAGTTCTTGTAGCAAAATAATTCATAAAGTTCCTTCACTCCCTATGCATAAGTGAATGACGTATTGTGATCGTAAATATTTTAGAATTTTGAGTTCAATATTTCAACTCATGACTGAGACAACAAATATTTAAGTTAGCTTTATACATGAAAAAGAACTCTGGCTATAGGCACCGCACTTTATACTGATATGATTTTATATTTAATCATTTCTTTAGTGCTGTCACTAGAAGGTGATTCCAGATGCCCTCAAAATTCTCTTGAGTCAAATGCTCCCCAGAACCCCATTTTCTGTACGTAGTTTTTAATAATTGGCCCAAAGCGAAAAGTAACAATACTCGACACGAGGTACCATAAACAAAATTGTTAAAAATCGTGCATCAAAAATTAATTTGGAGGACAACAAAATACTGAAGTGTGATGCCAAGTTCAGCTTTTTGAATTTCAATTAAGAGAACAAATAAGATACCCTCTTTTTATCTAAGATTTCTGAATTATTTTGATATCCCTGTTTTTTCACTGTTTTATTCCTGATTACGTACAACAAGTCAACACCCATGCAGTCAATTTTATATGTTTTTCACATGCGATTTATGTCATAACACTTGCCCTTGTTCGAGAGCCCTATAAGCATGAATACAAATGCGCGTGCCTTGAGAGACCTCATCTAGAACAAATTGAGTCGGGACGACGTGCATAAAAAATTGCAACTGTATGAAAAGCTTTCAGAACTGAAAGCATAGTCTTGTAAGGAGCATCCTCTTATATTTTTTGTTATGGCTACACTCGGTTTTGCACTGACATATACTTTTTCATGCTGCTAATTAGATGGCGTCAACAATAGTGGTCCCACATTTTGTTGGCTTGGATTTGCGTAGTTAGTTGTTTAATGAAATGCGTGAAATAGAATTTTTTGTAGAGCAGCGTAGGCAGAAACTCGAATACCTGGGCACCGTGACTGTTATAAGGAACTTGAAGAAGCAATCTTATCCGACTTTTGCACTGCCAATTTTACCAAAACTAATATATAACGGTCCCTTGGACCAATAGGAAAAGACCTTATCGAAATGCTATTTGACGGAAGCTGTCAAAGCTCTCTGAATTTCAGTGATGTGTGCTAATGTGTGGTGAAACGTGAGCGGACAAGTAAAAAAAATAAATGAAATAGTACTGTTCAGCTGAATTGAAATTCTCAGTACACCTCTGTCGTAATTTCGGTATTTACATCGTGGTTGTACGTCGTATAACTGTACGGTGGCGCGGGTGCTGTGGGCGTGATCGAGGGATAGGACAGGACCGGCCTCAGTTTGGTTCAGGTTTGATTGAGTTTACGGTGCCCAATATCTCGGTTCTCTTAAATCATTAGTGTATATGCTAGTAAGCAAAGAAAACCCCAAATTTGTGGACATCCTGTATAAAGTAACCCCGAAGATCCTTCGACCCATCAGCATCATATGTACTCTATTAAAGGTATTCGAAATGATTTTGTTTATTAAAATGAGGGACTAAAATTGACATTCTTCCCGAAAATGAATCAGGGCGCAGATCAGATCACAGCTGCACAACGGACTTGCTTAAAATAACAGACTATATCCTGATATACACTGATGATGGCCACCTATGCATCTTAATTTTACTAGATTTCTCGAAGACTTTTAATAAGCTAAACCATTTTCTGCTGATGACTGTTCTACACTACTTGGGTTTTTCAAACAGTGTCGTTTATTTGTTCAGAGATTATCTCAAAGATTGCGCACAGGTTGTCAAAGGCTTTGGTGAATCATCCGAATTGTCTAACATCCATCGAGGTGGACCACAGGGATCTGTTTTAGGTCCACTCTTATACAGTCTTCGCACTTCTCAGATGCACAAATGTTTTAAACGTGTCTCATATCACTGTTGACACTGGTGACACTATTTTACATATTGGTTTTCTTTATACTCCAACTACCACGAAGGCCCGAGGCCTAAACACCCATGGGGTACCGTGGGGCTAGCGGGGGATAAAGGTGAAAGGGGGGACGCCACATGAACTCTGGCGAGGGAACACGTGTGCATGCAACATGCACACATTCTGGCCCCGCCTACGAGATCCGCCGGGTGCTACCTCCGCGTTAGACAGTCAGAGACCGTCTACCACCTACGGAGAATCACAAAATCCATAGCCAATAGGAAAATTAATCTTGGGACGGGATTCGAACCCGCACAGCGCACGGCAAC